TCACTCCATATTTTACAATAGGAAATATAAGTGAATTCTATCGTCCATTGTAGTTCATGCTCATTTTACCCAAGGAAGCCCTTATTGTCAACTCTCATGTCATTATTTACACACGCCTGTCTTCACCTATACAAACACTAACTTAAAGCCAAGGCCAAAATGACAGGAAGAGCTACTTTCAAAGTTTAAGATTCTCCTCCTTTAAACCATCGTTCTACCTTTTTTGTAATCAGAAGAATCAATAGTTATGATACAAGAGTTGACAGCATGTACCTTCTGAGCAAACTGCCCCCTACATCACCCTGGAGAAAAGACAATGACTATACCATTCCTCTCTAAGTCAATCAGAAGATGCCATGCAAAACTGTTCAGTGTCTTAAAACAACAGAGAACAAAGCAATACCCTAAAATAGAATCACTTTTCAACCTTTTTCTCCTGAGTAGAACAAAAATTCATAACTGGAAGTTTTAGAATCTAGGATAGTGAAACTCATTATTCTACCCTTGTGCCAAGCTAGGTGGCTCCAAGGTGAGCTCTGAAAACCACAGAGGGTGAGCTGACAAGACACGACAGGTTGGAATGCCTTAACGGACATGAAATGCTCTTCAGCCTCCATCTGTTCTCAAGAAAGAACTGAAACACAATTGAATATCAGTCTAGGATGCTCTATCTCCTTAGCAGAATGATTGGTTGAGACTTTGAGATAAAAATGAGCCACGTTGTGGGTCAGTCAAAGCAATGAGGAGCTCTGGATGGTAAGTTCAGAAGAATGATAGCTTCCAGAAAAGTAAAACTATGGGTCCCTTGAAGTAAAGTTACTTTGTGAAAGAATCCAAACGTGTTTGAATTGCCCATATTTGGATCATAATCTGTGATGACTCAAAGGCATCGCCAGATAGAATTTACTGATGCATTAAGGCTTGGTCCTCCCTGGCAAAATGAAGTGGAAATAAAAGAAAAAAGAGCCAATTGCTTAGGTAAATCAGCATAAAATATCAAGACAATGGAGACAACACTTAGGCTTTACTTAATTCCACCCATCTGGGTACAAGTGTATAACTCAGATAGGGCCCTGAATCCCAGTGGAAATTACCATTCAAACACACAGGAATCAAACAAAATCATTCTAGTCACATAGAAACCATAGCTGGAACTGTATGACAACTTCCAATGCCCATCCTTCCATGACTTACCTAATAATGATGCCTTTGGTTACTCTCTTCATTTGGGCCTATTATATTCTGAAAAAAATCTTGTCCTCACTCAGCATCTATGCTCTAACATTTATTTCTCTGAAATGATGAATAAAACCTACAACCTCTCATCACAAAATACCTGTGCTTGGTGTTAGTAATCATTTATGAAAAGTCAACCACATTTCTAAGAACACAATTAGAAAAAAGCACAAATCTGCCTTTATAGGGTCCAATCAATACCAGACCTTTTTTTGTACAAGCAAATGGAAGATACAGATCAAATGTTTACCTGAACACCTTACTTGAAGTGTACATACTTTACCTAGATGATATTTTCATTCTGCACCTTGCTCTCTAGCTCTGGCCATTCCACCTAGAGTCAAAAGGAAGTTCAAGCAAATCTATGACACTATGAAGTAGGGCTGTCTCACACCTGAGATCTTTTTATATGCCATTTCCTTCTATTAAAATTTAATTCAGTCTCAGAAAAAGTTTTTGTCCTGAAAGTACCTGAATGAGAATTGGCTTGAGGCTTACAGATGAACTTGACTTTGACCTTAAACACTGGAGAATGAGTGACAACCCCTCCAGTATTCTCTCATGATTACAAAGCCACAGCAGAAACCCTAAACACACAGATTATATCTTTCTCTTCTCTAAACAGGCAAAATGCAAAAATACAAAGTATTTCCATCCAGCACAAACATGAGAAGAAAACAAAACAAAAAAGAAATTGAGAGACAACTGGTCACAGGTATACCTCAAATTAAAACATAAATTACAAGGTCAAGACACACACACACACACACCAATAAATTATTTATTCAGGAAAACATTAACTTCTGATTTCTTTTATTAAGATAGCAATATGAAGCTGGTTCAGGGAGAAATTTTGAGCACTCAGATTGGACTCCTCAGGAATGACTAGAATTGCTACATAATGGTCATCCATGGGAATCTGTCATGATGGAGCATAAGCAGATTGAAGAATTATTACCTTCTCTTCCAAAAGTTCCAAGCAGAACAAATTGTGCTTTTATAAATGTTTGTTTTATATATTACACAAATCAATTTTATATTGAATATGGCCTGAAATTAAAGTGCTAGCTAATTGAGTAGTTGTCCACTTGGTCTTGCAACATTCAGCGTGCATTGTCAAGTTTCACATTGCTAATTTTCCAACAAGCAGTTTTGTTTTCAAATGCCCCAAGGCCAATGACTGAGTCCAAACACAAACTTTCTAAGTAAAGAAACTCCAAGCAGCAAGAAATTTTAAACACACAACATCATCAGGATTCCAGTGTATGTTGCATCTCTTCTAATTTTAGAGTTCTGTTCTCCTATATACTTACCAGTTTTGTTTTGTATTTTTCATTGGGATGAATCTCAGTTTGCACAAGAATACCCAATTTATTAATCATAGGAGACTTCTCAATCTACACTGGTCAGTCTGGAAGGGTATGTTTATCTTACATGTTATGAACAATATAACTTTTTCTGAAAAAGATTGCTTCTCAAAGTCCTAACATGTTTTGTCAGAGCACAATATATGTTTGATAAACAAATTTATGTTTGATAATCATGTTTACATAGTATAGTAACAAACTCAATAAATACTGATTTGAAAGTGAAAATACCTTAAGTTTACACATGCCATGAACAATTCATCAATGTCATTCATTATTTTGCAAAGTATTATCTTCTCCAAATGAAGCGTAATTTATAAAACTGAAGAAATATAACAGTCGTGTTATGGGCAAATATATTTACTCATTTTTATTAGAAGGGGCTTTTATGCCAGAATTTTGTGAAATAATTTTGTCTGGATGAATGAAAGATATCAGGGAAAGATTTCTGTGGGAAAAAGGAAATCAATTTCTGTTTTAGAAGTTGTAATAATGTATACATATACATGAAGAATTATCAGAAAGATGAGTAGCCTAGCAGGATCGTTTGTAAATGCCTATTACTAAAACAACTAAAAATAAATCAAACCTTACTTGGGAGGAGACCAACTTTTTTGTTATTTTGCTTTAGGTAGTAAATTAGACACAAGTCTCAGCTTTCCTTGTGTCAATAAAGATTTTGTTAGTCAGTGGTAAACTTTTCAAAATGAAGAGAAGCATCTCTTTACTCATTCAAAAAAATGTGCTACAGTGAAATGTGAAAGATGAGATTCATTTTCTTATTTTTGCTTAAAATTTTAAATCAATTATTTATGATGAGATATACAGATTTCTTCCTGGGAGATGTAATGATGCATTTTTCAGAGCAATTACATCAGAGTTTCAATGTTTGTTAGCTACCTACCAAGATATTCCTTTGCCATTTCATTAGAGTAAAATTAAGTTAGGTAAATCCCACACTTATGCAACATTGAAAAACTCCTTTGTTAAATTAGCTCCTTTCAGCTAATTTCATAAACCAGGTAAAAATGTAACAAATAGGAAATACTCATATTAGAAATATCAGATTATATACTGTCAGTTCTAAATGACAAGGTAATTTAGAGCTACTTCAAAGCTTATTGATGAAATGTGGGTCACAATTAAATCTTCACTCTGTGAAGCAGTTATATTTAAATACATTAGAAATCTGCTCCTTCACTTCAGCTCTGTTTAAGATTATTAAAGTAAAACAGACAAGAACTCATAGTTACTCCCTAAACAACTTTTATATGTATCCCTGGTTGCTATGGCAGTTTATAATACTGAAAACTATCACATCTAACATGGTTAGTGCCCACAGTCACAGAGAAAACCACACAAAACATTAGCCCCCAAAGATGATCTTATAGTCCTTTTTAACAAATGCTGTACATGATGTACTCAAATCTACTAAAAGGTATACCATAATTTACTTCTGGATTTTGAGCCTTTGTTTTCAACTAATATACAGCCCTACAAATAAAATACAGAAACTTTTTTTGATTTCTTTATAAAGTTTTAAAAAAGTGAGTTTTATATTCATCTTCGCTTCTCTGTACGTGCATTGACCCTGAGATACTTCCTCTTTGCTAGCTCAAATACAACCAACATTACGTTACTTTAAACTGCAATTTAAAATTTATAAATAAAAACACTGGAACTTATACCAGACTGGGTTCTATCCTGCCCCAAAATACACAATAAATGAATCAAATACTTGTTTAAAAAAACTTCTCATTGTCCCATTAGGGCATTGCTATATCACCTGATGGAAAAGCATTTTGAGAGATTATGATGTATTATATTGCAAGTTTATTGTAAGCAAACAGCATACTTTACCATCACATTTAAATCTGTAAAATTCATGAAAATTTTTTTCCAGTATCCCATCACTGGATTTACTTCTAATTATCATTTGGCAAAGTACTTAACCTTATGGAAGGATTTGGTTTTGCAGTAATCATGTAAATAAGCACAAAGTAAATCAATCTTTATTATTTTTGAAGGAAATTGCAAACAACACCATCAAGCAAATCCTATAGTTCAGATTTATTTTTAACTCTTTCATAACCGGTGCAGATCTTAATTGCGCCTTTCTCCACTCCCCCTCCTCACCCTCCCAGCCCCAGTTTTGAGTTTCATATTATTTGGTGATTGTTTATTTAAGAACAACACTGGAAGCATCTTCATAAACTTTTTATGCTAAGCAATTATGCTTAGAAATCTTACTTTGCTTGGAAATGGTAAAGGTAGGAAATGAGTCTTGGGTTACCCAGTTGGGACAAATCCTTAGGTTTGGATCTAGAATGGGAAAATTACAGGGAAGTTCCTGTGGTCATGGAGAAAGCTGGGGGGACTTAACTTGAGAAATCTCACCTTTTGAGCTGCTTTGGAGGGACTCTTGTTTTTGCTGCCTTTGGGTCTTCCCCTGGGTCTCTTAGGAGAGGGCTCACCGGTTGGCTCCTAAGTGTGGGGGGGAAAAAATGTTGTTGTGGAAGAATGTCTGAAAGAAATTGACCCTGACTCTATAGTTATATTTTTTGCATGTGCTGCTCAAAAGAACTGTTGGAACACATTCATTAGGAGCATAAATGGAATGATGATGGTACTGAGTTTACAGAAAGAGGAAATAACTATACTTTTAATCCCAGGGTTCAAGAAGGAAATTCTATTTTGCATATGAAAACTAGATTCTGTTTCAACTCTAAGAAGGTAACAAAGGCTGACAAGGTTGCATGGTCTAGGAAGAAAGCTACACAGTTTTAAGGTGTAAAATATGAAACGGTTATGCATTTGGCAACTTATAAATCCTTTACAGGAATGCTACTACCCATTGTACTAGCATTTCAAACAACAGAAATATGAAGCTAACATCATAAATATTTCAACAATCTTCCCTATTGAAAAGATGGTTTTTAATCATCTCTGCGTATCTGCATTGTAGGTCAATTATGACTCAATCAACACATTGAGTGAAGTATTGGAGCAATTATCCAAGATCTTCAACTCAAAATAACTCCATTCCCCCTAAAATTTCCAAATAATTATGGTAAATCTGTTGTGGGAGGTTTTGCTTGAATTATCTAGGTAATTGCTTCAGTTCTCCACTTCCTTTTGGAGTTGTAGGCATGGTCTGTAGCCTAAATTTAAATGTCTTTTGATAAAAATTAACATTTTCTCCAAAACTTGCTTTTGAGAAAACTCTTACGGTGGGGGGAGACTGGAGAAAACTAAAAGAGGGAAAAAATGGTGGAGAATGGAAGTGTCTGGGAAGGAGAAATTGAAACTATCAATAGGTTTAGCAAAGCTTTGCCAAGTAGTAAATACTCAAGTGGTTAAGAGAATGCGATGATTAATATTCCAGATCCTAAAATATTTATCCAGTGAATCATCAATTTACATTTCATTCAGATTCGGTGATTAAACGGGACTAACTAACTTAAAACGCATGAACGTCTTCAATGAAAATTCGCATCCTATTTGGAGACTCTGGGGAAGGTTCCCTGCAAGCTTCTGTGGGACCGCTAGCGCCAATGGGCACATCCGGAGCAAACACACCGGAGACACATTCTTCTTTCTTTGTGAACTGCCTTAACTCAAAGGTAAAACCTCCAATCACCTCCAGATCCCATTGCAATTTCTTTTGGATTCTTTTTTTGGAGGTGGGGGACAATTCGAGTTAGAGAGAGCTGGGTGGCGGGTGGGAAACAAGGGGTGGGGGGGAGGGCAGAGACTTCCCGGGAGGTGTAAAACAGGATCCTAACGCGGTTTTAAGTGTCGCTTGGGCAGAGCGGGAAAACTCAGGGGCCTCTAGATTGGCTTGTTTCCTTTGATGATTTCAAAAAGGTATATAACCCTTTCAGTTTTTCTAAAACGCTCTGGCAAGC